AAGAGGCTTTTCTTTGCTTCCAGATTTCTACCAAGTGCTCCATTCAGCGCTTTTTGGGGCCACAGTTTCGAGCACCTGCAGTCGCAAGGTGAAGGACAGCTGGTTGAGGTTCTGAGAAGACACTACTTCACCTACTGCGATGGCCAGTGGAGTTCCGATTGGAACGGCTCTCCAGACCGTTTGGGTCTAGCCACATTCTGTGGCAGCCAGCCGCAAGAGTCATGGCATCGTCATCGGCTGAGACCTACTCTGGCCAATTTGTATTTGCCCGTGAACAGCGTCGTTCATAGAATCAGCTCTTTACTTAGCAGCCGTTGCCAGCAGAAGGATGTGTCCGCTGAGCGACTCCTATCGGTTCCATCAGGTCACTGGAGTAAGCGATGCGCGGAGGAAGCAAAATTTTACCTTCAGCACAAGCATTTCCTTTGTGCGAAGTCTGGTACTTCGTGGGCCATGCGAGTGGAGTGCGACTCGCAATCCTTTGAGAAGCTCAAAACCCCCGTGTACGTGGATTTGGTGGAAATTCTCCGCAAAATCTATCTGACAGACCAGCCGGAGCTCTCTCTGCAGGCCATGTTCATGCTTCCTGGATGCTCGCAGACCTCAACCTCAGAGCAACTTGCGGCGACTCTGAGCAAGTTTTGCCTGGTGCTATGTGATCCCCAAGAGGCACGTCGATACTGGAACTGTGCCGGTGGCGCGGATGACCCCACAGTGGCGTGGCATGGTGCAGCTGCATGTCTTGGTTGCCCAGAGAGCAGTATCCGCGGCACCTGTCCACACACCTATGTGACGTTCATTGAATCAGGTGCTTTGTCATTACATCGTATGTTGATTTCTGATCCTGTGTTATCACATGATAATGTCGTTTATCGAATTCCCCTGGCTGGTCTAGTGGCTTTTTTTTTGGCAGGTCAACTGCAGTTGGATGTTCCTTGGAAGCAGCCTGCTCGTGGCAAGAAGAGATCCCGGCAGCCAGTTCCTGAGCAAACCTCAGAGTCTGAATCAGAGTCGTCTCCCGCAGCGGCCAGTAGCAGTCGCATGCCCGTTTCGCAGCAGGCCAGGTGTTTTTGGCCAGAGCTGAGTGTCTGTGTTTCCTTGCCTTGTTGAAACAGTGTGTCTCCGGCGTATCTTCAGTGTACATGATTACTGTGTGACTGAGCCATTGTTTACAGATGTTATGCAGACCCAGGTTTTCAACATGTCCCTTTCCTTTCATAGTTTCACTATACGTACTCGTCTTTCTGCCAGGACGCGCCCCCGGCATCTGCAGCCACTCCGAAGGTATCTTTGTGGCGAGGCATGAATAAGCGACAGCGACTGGCAGCACTCAGGCAAGTTCACGGAGCTGGTGATTCAGGAGCTTTTCTTGTTTCACTGTCTATCTAAGCCGTGGATCCTTCCGCGGCATGGCTTGAAATTTCCCAGACATTGTACCATCATTGTTCATGTTTCATTGCGGGCGCGCAAGAGTTTGGAAAGTTGCGTGGCAGGCTTCACGCAAGCCATTGTTTGTTGAGCCAGTGGGTCTTTCCTTCATTTTGCAGGAGTCAAGCAGAAAAAGCAGCTGCCAGGGCCATCGCAATGTTTGTGAGATCCGCTGACCATGCCCTTCTCTGATTGGCATGCCTCTCTGGGACTTGAGTTCTTCGTCGAATTCCCGCGCTTGGAAAAAAGCAATCATGCCTGTCGGCTCAGTGCATTTTGTGGTTTCTTGCAGGACCCACTCTTGGCTTGACTTCTTGGCTATTGTGTGCGAGCGCGAGCACGCATGTATACCAATGTAGAGCATTCTATCTACCAGTTGCTGGTACACAGTTCCTGTGATTGAGATCGTATCTCTTTTTTTTATATATATAGTACAAGCATGGCATTCAATGCTGATCCCTCGCCACAACCCCTATCTCATCTACCCAGTTTAAGTCTTGTGGAGGATAAAGACTTTGACTCGCGGTTTAACTGTTTCGTCCGGCTGATACACGCTGATCTTTTTTTTCTCCGCAAGATAGGATGGTATAACACTATTTCACGCAGTGTTTTGTGTGGGAGACCCTCATGTAAGCCATTGCCACACGCCCATTCTTGCCCTTCTGATGCCGCCACTTCCATCCACCTACCCCATCTCTTGTGTGCGTTCCTTTCTGGACCCCACCCCCCCCACCCACCCCACCCACCCCTTCTGATGCCGCCACTTCCATCCACCTACCCCATCTCTTGTGTGCGTTCCTTTCTGGACCCCACACCCACCCACCCACCCACCCCACCCCACCCCTTCTGATGCCGCCACTTCCATCCACCTACCCCATGCCACCACTTCCATCCACCTACTTGTGTACATTCCTTTCTGGAACCGCCCACCCCACCCACCCCACCCACCCACCAAGCCACCCCACCCACCCACCCACCCACCCACCCACCCACCCACCCACCCACCCACCCACCCACCCACCCACCCCCACCCACCCACCCACCCACCCCCCCCCACCCACACCCACACCACCCACCCCTTCTGATGCCACCACTTCCATCCACCTACCCCATCTCTTGTGATGCCACCACTTCCATCCACCTACTTGTGTGCGCTCCTTTCTGGAACCGCCCACCCCACCCACCCCACCCACCCACCAAGCCACCCCACCCACCCACCCACCCACCCACCCAACCCCAACCAACCACCCACCGCCCCCACCCACCCACCAAGCCACCCACCCACCCACCCAATTCCATGCATCTAGAGCTCTGTGTGCGCAACTGATCCAAATATGTGTGCGTAACTGAGCCAGAACTCAGGGGGGTTTTGTGTGCGCAACTGATCCAAATTTGTGTGCGCAACTGATCCCCCGCCCCTTTGAGGCGAGTTCCCCTTGGTAGGGGTGATGTTCTAAGGAGAGTATAGGGAACCCAAAAAACTGGGTGTACCGAAAGGCATCGCGTGGCAATTTCTTCGGTGTTGGAGACACTTCGATCGGTTTGCGCGTAGAAGACTTAAAGGGTCGAGATTCAATTTATCAGGATTTGTTGTTTCATTTTTGGATTAGTCGTGGGCAACAAATCACCGAAAAGGGGAAATCTATTTCGCGGAATTGCCTTCGGTGGTTTTCTTCCGGCCTACCTTCGAAACCATCCAAATTTTACGAGACAAGCCCCTTTTCTTGACGGGTCTTTGGTGTGGCCTTAGCCACCAAGAGGGGTAGGCCTCGTGTTTTGTTTCTTAGTTTGATGTTTTTTTTCTCCATTGAGTTTGTTTCAAAAAACCAGGGGGGAGGGACAGGTCCCGCAAAGCTCAACTTGCTTTTCCGGCGTCGCGCGTGGCCGGGCCATCGCCAGTGTCAGGCGAGTTCGTAGAGATCGAGATCTTCGCAGCTCAGGATCGGCCGTCGGTGTTGCGAGCCATCCTGGTTTTGGGTGTCGTGGGTTGAAAGGTAAATCAGAAGCAGGCCCATTGTGGCACATCCCCATGGTTTTTTGGCTTTCTTTTCGTTGTCCTGTTTTTTCTCCACCGAACTCCCGTAGAATCCCCCACAAACGCAGGCATGTGAATATGGGTACTGGAACTGACACATTTTGAGCTGCATCATTGCATCATTGAGATGTGCTTTGTTTGGCCTTCACCCTGGGAAAGTCGGTAGCAACTGCATCATTGAATGACAGGCTCCCGACCATCCATCATATCAGAACATCGCAGCTCCCGCATGTTGAATCGTTAACATGCCAACACATTGCACCTCATGCATGTTGAGCTGCATCTTGAGATGTGCTTTGTGTAGCCTTCACCCGGAAAACCAATGCATCATTTAATGATACGTGCCGGACCAATCCATCATGCCAAAACATCGCAGCGTTTTTTGAGCTGCATTACATCATTGAGATGTGCTTTGTGTCGCCTTCACTGGAAGCTGGAAACAAATGTATCATTGAGTGATACGTTTCCGACCAACCCACAATGCCAGAACATCGCAGCTCCCGCATTCTTTGTGTAGCCTTCAAACAATGGCATCAGAACCAACCCATCATGCCAGAAACAACGCAGCTCCCGCATTCTTTGTGTAGCCTTCACCCGGGAAAGCCGGAAACAATTGCAACATGGAATGATAGGCGCAACCAACTCATCATGCCAGAACAACGCAGCTCCCGCATTTTGATCTGCATCACCTGCGTCATTAAGATGTGCTTTGTGTAGCGTTCCTGGGAAAGCCAGAAACAAATGCATCATGGAATGATAGGCGCCTGACCAACCCATCATGCCAGAGCATGGCACGCGGCTCCCGCATTTTGAGCCGCATCACCTGCATCATTACGGGAGTTGCGATGTTCTGGTATGGTGGGTTGGTCGGGTGCCATCATTCCGCGCATTTGATTCCGACTTTCCTGGGTGAATGCTACACAAAGCACATCTTAATGATCAGATCAAAATGCGGGAGCTGCGTCCTATCATTCAATGATGCAATTGTTTCCGGCTTTCCCGGGTGATAGGCAATCGAGCAACCCTCAGCTCCCGCATTCTTTGTGCAGCCTTCACCCGGGAAAGCCAGAAACACATGCATCACTGAATGATAGGCGCCCGACCAACCCATCATGCCAGAACATTGCTGCATCACCCGCTTTGTGTAGCCTTCACCCCATCATGCCTGCACCACCTGCATCATTGAGATGGTGTTTGTGCAGCCTTCCCCAAAAAAGTCTGAAACAACTGCATCATGAAAAGGTAGGCGCCCGACCAAACCATCATGCCAGAACATCGCAACTCCCGCGTTTTGAGCTGCATCACCTGCATCATTGAGATGCTCTTTGTGTAGCCTTCACCCAGGAAAGCCGAATCAATGGCATCATTGAATGATAGGCACTCGAGCAACCCATCATGCCAAAAAACATCGCAGCTCCCGCATTCTTTGTGCAGCCTTCACCCGGGAAACCCAGAAACACATGCATCACTGAATGATAGGCGCCCGACCAACCCATCACGCGCGACCCCCGCATCTTGAGCTTCATTACCGGCTGAGATGTTCTTGGTGCAGGCTTCACCCACAGAAGTCGGAAGCTGCATCATTGAATGAAAGGCGCCCGACCAACCCATCATGCCAGATCATTGCAGCTTCCGCATTTTGAGCTGCATCACCCGCATCATTGACATATGCTTTGTTGGCTTTACCCGTGGCAACTTCCCTTCAGGCTACCCAATTTGGGGTCTTCTTTTGGGGTAACCTCTTTGGGTTGAAAGAACACCAGGCCTGGTTTCAAAGGAATTGGGGGGCCCCCAGTAGACTTCAACCCGGTTGATGAAAACAACCTTGGGTATAAGTCTACCTTGGGGTAAGTCGACACACACCCTTGGGTTTCAGTCTACCTTGGGGTAAACACAAAGTGGCAACCCTCAAGGTTAGTAAGGGACAATCCCACTTCGGGAATCCGCCTTCTTGGTTCTTGAAGCCTGGTTCCGGGTCGACCATTTTAGTACCGGGTTTTGATTCTGACTGAAGTTGGTTCAAGTCTGCCTTGGGCTAAAATCCAGACGTGACAAAACCCTCAGCTGAAAAAAAGATCCGCCAGGACCGCATCATCTGCGCGGGGGACATGGGCACGGAGCTCTACTTTGTGGCGGTGGGGGAGGTGGAAGTGGCCGCAAGCCCCAGCCGATGGAGAGAGTAGCGGCGTCCCAGCCGGACGCCCCCTGAAAACTTCCCCAGAATGAGCTGCCCCTTTTGGCCTTGTTCTTGCTTTTTGGGGGTTCCCTTGGTTTTCCACGAACCAGGCAAAAAAGATATATTTTTGGCTGGGGTCCTAAATCCAGCCAAGTTAAAACATGTCGGAGCTGCGAAAGGGAGACAATGAGGCTTATAGAGATGGCGATGAGTTTTCATGCCAAACCCCGAACCGCTTCAAAAGTGGTTGGACATAAATTCTGTCCACCAAAGGGTCAATTAAGATTCATAGCCTTTTTCTGCGATGGTTCAGGACATGGCCGCCTTTCTCACCAAACCAAATTCACCTGGGAGGTCAAAATCGAGTGTTTCCCCTTTCAACCAGCCTACCGTGGCTTGCCTGGGATCATGGTCGTGGGGGGTGTCTGCCGACTTGTTGTGCTATCTGGGATCCACCACCAACATGGACTGACAGTCAAAGATGTCTTCCACCCCGACTACTTCATGGTTTCAACGGGATACACAACCACCATACTGCTCTGAACTTCAAGGAGGAACCCGTGAAAAGTGTTAGACACAAATTCCCATGTACATGTTCACCCAGGGGTCCAACTACTTTCCATTGTTCCCATTCTGTGGATGGACGAAATCCTAAGAAGCCCCTACTGAAAATGGTTTCCATGGTTTTTTAGGTGGTGCGACATGGATTTCGTCCATCCACAGTGGGGGTACTTCCATTTGTTTAAGAATGTGTTTTACTTTCCCCTGTTGGTTTTAAAGGGAATCGATTTCACTACTGGACATATTTTTCCGGGGCGAAGCAAATGGAAGGGTATCAGCCCATTTTCCCCATGGACATCTTGACAACGCCGGCGCTCAGGTTTTGCCTGGCAACGCGGAGGAGAAGGGCGTGGTCATCAAGACTTTGCACGAGGGCTCCTTCTTTGGGGAGTGCGGAGGCCCAGTTTTCGTGTTGTTTTGGGCCGGAGCCCCAAAACTGCGGATTTTCTCGATTGGGTGACACCAAATGGGCTCAAGCAAATGGATTTTACAATGCTATACTTCCTGTGCTGCAAGCTGGAACCCGCCTTTTTGGGGCCTTTTGCATGGGGGTGTGAGATGTCTTTTTCCACTTTTCCAGACCCCCTTTTGCGTCCAGTGGATGGTTTACAAACTCGAAACTTGTGATTACCAGGTGTTCCTCAGGGTGACAAGTTCCAGTTCCGTCCGGTCAGCTCAGGGTAGATGTGGGTGTGGGTCAAAAAACCGCCAGGAATTGGACCGCAGGTTTCAGTCCTTGTTTCCATCTACCACGGCAACCCATTTTGGGGTCACCCGATTTTTGAGCCACACCCATCGTGGGTGAGTTTGTTTTTAAGCGTTGTTTTGGCAGGGGAGCCAGGAAGCCACCCATCTTTTTTGGGTTGCTCCCTACTGTGGGTGTTTCGAAGGGAAATCCGGAGGAAGATACATGTTCCGTGATGCCCCGTGCAGACACATGGGGACAGGTGCGGGGTTCACCATCGATACCAGCCTAAACGCCTGGTACATTGGGCCTCTTCCATGGGATGTAAACAGACCTCTGATTGGAATCTCTGCCCAAGGCAGACCTTGTCACCTTTTGAACCTTCCCGTTTCGGTCCATACTTTTAGTCAAGGTCAAAAAGGTCAATCGTTCATTCCAAGGACCTTTGGGCAAGTGAGGAATGTATGTTGCTTTCCTTGTGGTTCTCTATGTGGATGAGATGTGAGTCAGAATAAGTGTCTTTGACTCACCCTTCAGGAACTGTGAACAGGCGTTGCAAAAATGGTCACCAACAACCCCCCCCCCCCCGGTACACCCCGTTGGTATGCTGGTCACCCCATAAAATACCGACTATGTCTTATGTGGTTCTGGCACGCCACGCCCAAAATCGTTCTGTTCATTTCAGGCAAGGGGCACCACTGCAATGGCTGCAATGTGTTTTTTCAGGTCAGGCTGGCTGAAGATGGCACCGGCTTCAGTTTGGAATTTTAGCGATTTGCCAGTGGCATCTACTTTTCCGAAAGGACACCTATATGGCAATTTGTAGGCTTCTGCCAGATCTTTTGGCATTAAATATCCGTCATAGGGAAGGACCTCCCTGTTGTCGCACAAGGAACTCCCCCACAGCACTCTTGCTCCAGGCTGGGGCTTTTGTTTCCGGACTCCAAGCACAAGGCCAGACCTGTCGTATCACTTTGGTTGGCTTGCTTCATTCGCTCGGAGGGAACCTGGGAATTTGCCCGTATTCCCATGCCATGGTTTTTCAGCACCAAAGCGTCCGGGTGTCCACAGCCAAAGCCTTTCGAGTCTTGACCGCTAATCATGACGTTGTTGTTTAGAAAGATCTTACATGTTTTGCTCATTGTGGTTTGGTGGTTGAAATTTCCCCGCTGAACTGCTAAGATTGAAATTTTGGGCTCCCCTTCCAACGTGCACCAAGTAATGTTCTTGGCAAAGAATGTGTGTTTCAATGGTAACCACCTCTGGTTCCCGCCGTAGGTTGGCTGCGTGTAGAGTCTCAGGAGACACTTGTGCGGGGGCCGTCGTCCTTAAGCGCTTGCATGGGGGTCCTGCAGGGTCGGTGGTCCGGAATCGGCCCGGTGGATTTCTGCGGCATCGGCCCGGTGGATTTCTTCTTCACGGGGTGCTTCCGGGCCCTGAAGTGAAAGTTGGACAACTGGAATTTTCCATGGAAAATTGGCGCCCCTTGAGAAAAGTGAAGCTCTTCCCGCTTTCAGATCAACAGAACCCTCTCACCCAAGGAGCTTGCAACATTCCCCTTTCTATTTTGTTTAAAGGGGCCCAAGAGAACCCGGCAATTTTGGCGCAACTCCCCATTCGAAGCCAAACGCGTCTCGGCTCGGCCAAACAGTTCCAATCAACAAACGGGCCCCAGGCATTTTGGGGGTGCAACTTTTCCGTACGTTAAACCAACCGCGTCCCCGTCTTTTCCACGGGGAGGTCCACGAAATTCAAGCCAACAAAAAAACAACATTTTGGGGGTGCAACAGTTCCCCACGTTAAGCCAGCTTTCCTGGGCTTTTCCACGAAAAAAAACCAATAGTTTGCCAACCAATTCACATTTTGGGGCTGCAATTCCCCCCTGTTGAGCCACCTGTCCTCGTCTTTTCCACGGGGAGTGCCACGGGAAAGAAAAACAACTCTGCGGTGCCACGGGAGGTGGACGTCTACGGCGCCACGGCGGGGTGGCTGCTGGTGGTGCCGAGGGGCACCTTGGAGAGCCTCTGCTCCGAGGAGCTGCTGGAGACCTTCCGGCGCGGGGCTCGGGGGTGGGGGGGGGGGGTGGGGTGCGGGGAGGTGGGGGTGGTGGGGGAGTAGGGTGGGGGAGGTGGGGCTGGGGGGAGGTGGGGGTGGGGGGAGGGGTGGGGGGAGGTGGGGGGAGGTGGGGAGGTGGGGTGGGGGGTGGGGGGGGAGGTGGGGGTGGGGGGAGGTGGGGGAGGGGTGGGGGGTGGGGGGGGTGGGGGTGGGGGGGAGGTGGGGGGGGGGGGGGAGGTGGTGGGGGGAGGTGGGGGGAGGTGGGGAGGTGGGGGGTGGGGGGAGGTGGGGGAGGTGGGGGTGAGGGTGGGCGAGGTGGGGGTGGGGGGAGGTAAGGGTGGGGGAGTGGGGATGGGGAGATGGGGGGGCGAGGTGGGGGTGCGGGGGGGTGGGGGGGGGGAGGTGGTGGGGGGAGGTGGGGGTGGAGGTGGGGGTGGGGGGAGGTGGGGGTGGGGGGAGATGGGGGGGCGAGGTGGGGGTGGGGAGGTGGGGGGGGGTGGGGGTGGGGGGGGGAGGAGGTGGGGGTGGGGGGAGGCGGGGGCGGAGGAGGTGGGGGTGGTAGGTGGGGGTGGGGGGAGGTGGGGGTGGGAAGAGGTGGGGGTGGGGGGAGGTGGGGGTGGGGGAGGTGGGGGGGGTGGGGGAGGTGGGGGTGGGGGGAGGTGGGGGTGGGGGAGGTGGGGGAGGTGGGGGTGGGGGAGGTGGGGGGTGGGGGAGGTGGGGGTTGGGGGAGGTGGGGTGGGGGTGGGGGGAGGTGGGGTGGGGGGGGAGGTGGGTGGGGTGGGGGTGGGGGAGGTGGGGTGGGTGGGGGAGGTGGGGGGAGGTGGGGGTTGGGAGAGCAGGGTGGGGGAGGTGGGGGTGGGGGGAGGTGGGGTGGGGGGTGGGGGGAGGTGGGAGGTGGGGGTGGGGGTGGGGGAGGTGGGGAGGTGGGTGCGGGGAGGTGGGTGCGGGGAGGTGGGGGGAAAAAGGGGGAGGTGGGTGGGGCGAGGTGGGGGGGGTGGGGGGAGGTGGGGGGGAGGTGGGGTGGGGGGGAGGTGGGGGTGGGGGGAGGTGGGGGGGTGGGGGGAGGTGGGGGGGAGGGAGGGGTGGGGGGAGTACAGGAGAGGCAGAATCTGGTGTAAGTAGCTATGCAAGCTTCAGCAGAATCAAGCAAGGCAGTCAAAGACATGTTGACAGAGAAAGCAGAAATTTCAACCATGATTGAGGGTACAAAGCAACGCGGCACGTATCTGTTTTCAATTCTTGCATCATTGCTGAAGGGCAGGCCTTTGCAGATCTTGAAGCAGGTTGACGAGAACAACGGCTACGAGGCGCGTAGGCAGCTGATATGCGTGTTGCAGCCAAAGAGCAGAGGAAGAGCACTTGGTTTGTTAACAACTTTGACTCAGGCGTCTAGTTTTCGCATGAGGAAGTTCCTTGCATTGATCTGACAGGTGATGCAGATAGCATGCTCAGGATGCTTTCATGTGCCAAGCTCACTTGCAAAACAGATATGGTCGTTCTTGATGGCGGTTCAGATATAACTGCAATTCCAGACAGCATGGCAGCAGCATGGCGGGGCATAGATTCTGCGCGTGCTGTATCAGCAAGGGACGCACAAGGAAACAGTATCAGCACAGGCGGCATGAGGCACACGGAGTTTGAGTTCCTGGATGCTTATCGCGAGATCGACGGTGATAGGCAGGCAGTGAAAGCAGTGGTGAGAGAGCAAGCAGTGGTAGCCAATGTGACTGGTCCACTCCTTTGTCTTGGAAAGATGGTCCAGCATGGTTGGCAAGCAGTTCAACTGTCAGATGGTTGTCATGCACTTTGTCACGACATGTCAGGCATCAGAGTGCCCATTTCGTACCAGGGTAACAGCTGGGCAGTGCGTGCAAGGATCAGCAGAGTTGAGGACACGCAGCGCAGGTGCGTGCTCTTGAAGTCAAAACAAGCAGCGAGATCGAGAACACAGTTTTTGGTTGGCAGTTGGGACCAAACGGGAATCCCTTATGGCGGGGCATGAGCAATTGCTTCATTGACCCGACTCACAGTGCAGCAGGTTACAGGTGGAAATACAGGACCACTCTTGTGCGAGAGAACGTCTTTGAACCGTGGAGGCTCGTTGAGCATTGTAGTAACTTGGAGATCATACCAGATTCAGACTGTGCAGTTGAAGGCTTTGCAGACGCAGATTTGGAAATGATTACAATCACGACATCACAGATTCAGAGCTCAGAGCAAATGAGTTTTCAAGATCCGGTTGAGAAGAAACAATGTGATGTTGAGATGCAGGAAGTCAGTCAGCAGTCACAACCTGCAGAGAAGCAGCTGGAGGAGCCTCAGAAGATCCAGCAGCCTGCAGCTCGAGCCAGAAGCGCCAGAGCAGGGCAGATGTTCCTTTGGGGCCACTGCAAGAAATTGTGGTGAGTGATGATGCAGTGGTAATTGATGGAGTTCGCATTACCATGGACAGCACTCTTGCAACGATGAGGGCAGCTTGTGAGAAAGGCGGCCTATACGCTGCGGTTGGAGGTGCGTGCGACACGCTGTATTTGCAGAACTGCGTTGAGTTTTCTGGATTAGCTTGTAAAGCAGTTTTGAAGATGGACCACAGCGCGGCACGAGCACTTTCCTCAAGACAAGGACCCAGCCAGAACACGCGACACATCCAAACCAAGTACTTGTGCAAAAGAGGAAGCGGTGAACTTGGTGTGCGAAGCAGTACCCACAGAACTGAACATAGCGGACATTGGGACCAAGAGCCTTTCAAAACGCATTCTGGGAAAGCACATGTTCCACATGGGTTTCGTGGATACAATGCATGGTCTTAAACCTGTTGGTGAAGACTGTGTTGCAGAAATGGAGTGTCAAAACTATGTGAGAAGGCAAATCAAAATGGTCAAAGCCGAAATGAACTGTGGAAGAGTGAGTACATGCAGGTCAGACTTTGGTTTGCAACAGCACACAACACGTGCTATCATGTCCACAGTTTTGGCATCGAGTTTTACAACAACTGAAGCCTTGAGCCACGACGTTAGCAATTTGCAGACGAATGAGCAGTGGACGTATTTGCAGATCCTCCGTTGCTTCGCATTTTTCTGTTTATGCGTTGGCATGGTGGTTTGCTTTTACTTTGTGCATAGATTGAGATTGGAGGTGAATTCTCTGCAGATGATGGTGTACGAATACGCATACCGAGTTTCAGACTTGGAGGACAGAGTGACATTGGTTGAGCCTTCTGGCCAAAATCCGGACACCAGTGAAGATGCAGATGCAGAACAAGCAGTTCAGGATATGCTTGATCAGGTGAGCAATCATGGTGCAACAACACGTGGCACTTCAGAGTTTTTCAGCGGAGAAGGATTCAGACTGAGCGAAGACTCGCCGGATGTGACCAGAGCGCATTTCGTGGATTTGCAAGATGGTGAGCTACGACTTGAAAGCTTTTCTGACATGATGCACAGATTGATGTCACAGAAGGTCAGTCGAGATGAGGCCTTCCTGGCCTTGCAGAATCATGATGCAGCGAGAAGACGTAGTCGACAGGAGCAGCGGCTTGCGACATCTCGCTTGAGACGCAGACTAGTGATTCGAGATGCCAGTCCATGACAGATCATGAGATTTGATCACAACCTTGTACATAAACGTGTACTTGCAGTTGCTTCGTCATGAACAGCATGACTTGATATGCATGATGGATCCTGCATGAATTCTTCCAATGCGTACCTTGTCGTGACTCTCTCTGCATGAGCACCCCCTTCTCTCGGGGGGAGTGGGGGCATCCTCCCCACAAAAATGCAGCTCTTGCAAGAGTCACTTCAGGTGCGCCTTGGAGGGGCCAATGCAGTCATGGGCAGACACATATAAGTAGAGAAGGGTACAAGTGTCAGAAAGAGACGATGACACTCAGGTGTGTGGAAGTATATATATATATATATATATGAGAGGGGGAGGTGGGGGGGAGGTGGGGGTGGGGGGAGGTGGGGGTGGGGGGAGGTGGGGGCGAGGTGGGGGGGTGGGGGGGAGGTGGGGGGAGGTGGCGAGGTTGGGGGGGGAGGTGGGAGGTGGAGGTGGGGGTGGGGGGAGGCGGGGGTGGGGAGTGGGAGGTGGTGGTGGGGGGAGGGGGTGAGGCACCAGGCAAGACATGAATTATGGCTGGAGACGTGGTTAGAAGTGGTAGGCTTTTGGTTTGCGAAACCGGCAGTATGGGAATCACGCAACATGAAGTGGATTTGTGTGCAAAGTTGGTGAGTAGAGGTATTGTCGCTATGTAGCTTGTTTATGCTGAAGCAGAATGACTCTTTTTTCATGCAATTTACTCCGGAAGTGAGTTGAGTTGTTGAACAAGCAGCCAGTCGGGGTTGGGCGGATGCGGTGCTCAAACATGGGCCTGTGATTTGTGTCAGGTTCCTCTCTCCGGATTGGCAAGTGCGAGTTGCCGATTCTTGGTTTCCCAGGCCTACAAAATCGACCATCCAATAATTGTGTGTTTCGAGTTCGACCGATTCGGTGTGGTCCGGAAATATTGGCGCTGTTGATCGATTGCCGTATCAAAGCCTGAGGCAGGATTCACGGGTGTTCGTGCAGAAGAAGCACAGTTATCACATATTTGTGGTTCTCTCCTTGGTTTGACCGACGGTTCTTTGGTTGCCCTGTTGTGAAATGACGGATGCCCCCCCACTGACCAGCATCCATTTCTTGCTGGCGCCCGTGAGCTGCCGCTTCAGCTACAGTGGATTCCCTCAATTTGGCAACCGAACCACAGACCAGCACAAAACCCTGATCATTTACAACCTGCAGGAGTTTGCAACTTGCCCCTTATTGAAAACCGTCAAACTTTAACTTGTTGAAGGGGCAAAACCCTACGGTTAAAACACGCACCCCTCAGGAAGGGTTCCGATTCGTCGTCTTACGCGTTCTAATCTGACTTGGGGGCTAGGGGCTAGAGTGTTTGAAGGAGTTTCGACGTGGCGTTTCCTTTGGGTCCAGCTGGGTGCCCTTCTCTCCCCGTTTTTGGTTGGGGAGATTCGGTTCCCCGTGTCTAAAATAGACAAAACCGAGTTCTCTCCATGGAACCCCAAATTTCCGTTAAATGTTGTTAGTGGTTTAATGGAAAACCGTTCGTTTCCCCTACTAAAATAGACTAAACAAAGAAAAACACATCGGGCACCAACTTATTCTGAGCTCTCGAATCTGGAGGACCAAATCGTTCCTCCAAAGCCAAAGGCTTCAAGTCTGCTTCACTTCCATTGGTTTAAGAATATTTCCATGGTAGTCTGCTTCACTTCAAGTAGTCTGTTTTTTTTTCACTTCCTACTGAAAATGGTTTCCATGGTTTTTTAGGTGGTGCGACATGGATTTCGTCCATCCACAGTGGGGGTACTTCGAATTGGTTTAAGCATATTTCTTTTATTTTGCCCTGTTGGGTTTAGTTAGGGAATCGATTTCACTACTGGACATATATCTTTTCTAATTTTCTTCCAGGGGGGGAAAAAGCAACTGGAGGGTCTGTCTTTCTTGAAACCTCCATTTGCCCCTTGAAGCCACCAAAACACGGGGTGCCCCGAAGCAAGACACACCCTCGGATGGGCGCTTGAAGGCCTCAGGCCCCGAGGCTCCGAGCGACCCAGGTGCGTGGCCATCGAGCGCCTTCGGAAGCCGCCCGGCGGTTTGCGCTCAACGAGTGGGGTCCGGCTGACCAGCTCGAAACCCGGGTACTCGGTGGTCGTTGGGACACATTTTTTTACATTTTGCTGAAGTTGTGGTTTAGTACGGTTGAAATACCCAAATCCACGGATCTGCTAAAATCTGAAAGAACTTTTGCTCCCCAAACCCAACGTCCACCAAGGGTAGATGACTCGGTTAGTAAGGGACACTCCCCTTACAACCGCAGGGCTCCCCGTGTAAGGAAATGTTCGGTGCATGCGTTGCGTAAGCGGAGAGGCCCTGAATCGCGTGAGCTATCCCTTTGCTCGCGCAAGATCTTTTGAGCGCCGCTCCTCAATTTGTTCCTCCTGGTGGTTTTACGTATCACTCTTTGGGCCAATCTGACGCTCACTTTTTGGGCCAATCTGAAGCCAGTCTCCTACGTATTTGTTCATTTTTGCAAGGATCCGTCAAACATTGCAGTGACTCATTGTGGCACGGGCTGCTTGAATTTCGATTGAGGCATACTAAAAGAGTCCCGAAATTGTCAACCTAAGATAGTGTCCATTGCGCCCCGACCACTGAGAGCGCTTCCATGGGATGTACAACCACTATATAGCCAGTGTGTAAAGCTTACTTCCATTTGCTTAAGAATATGTTGCTTTGTTTTCCTATGCTGGTTATAAAGGGAATCTATCACTACTGGACATATATATATATATATTATTATTTTGCGGACCTAAGCAAATGGAAGGTTACATCACCTGTTCTCCTTTGGGAGTAGCTGGGAAGGTAAAGCCCACTTCCTCTCACACAGCCTTAGGAGCATCTCACTTGGGGGTTTTGCCGAAGAGCTTCTTCCCTTGGGCTCGGAGGTGGAGCGGAGGTTTTCCCCTCATGTTTTTTTTTCCCCCCCGTTGTTTTTCTTCTTTTTTTTTCCCGAAAAGGAACCACCTCCCCCTTAGAGCGGCCAGGCTAAAAAATCGTCAGCTGCTTTCCTGCGGTACCTTTTGAAGACCTCTGCAAACCCGTACCCTTTGATAGGAGTATGGGAGAAGTCCGTTTTGGGAGTGGAGGGGGAGAGGATAGAGGGATAGAGTGAGACCAAGCTTGACTCAAGACTCCACTGGGCAGGTCAAGCAAACCTTCATGGACATTTTTATCCCCCCCTCATAACCAAGCCAATAGCTGGGCATGAAATTCCTCTTGGGATACACTTGCTTTGGGAAAAGGAGCCTGGCCAAATCCGCGGTGAATAGTGAAGTTCTGGGGAGCTGTGCGGTACCAGGCCAACGAACACCTCGCACGGTTCGGGATTAGTCATGGGGAAGGTCCGTCGGCAGAAACAAGTTGACTTGGCAGGGCACGCCCCAGGCACATCGCAGTGGCAAATGAACCTGACCTGCAGGGGGTGTGCAGCACTCATGAAGCCTCTTTCACTGTGAGCTCATTTCTCAAGATGTCAGGATGGTTCCAAGTCGCCTCAAATCCGCACCGCCAGATAGATTTCAGCCTATTCAATAGATATCGATGAACCAGGCTCCCTTGAAATGGTACCTTGGGCCGGAGTTCTTGTTCCCACGGGTTTGTTTCATGTTTGTTGTTTTGCCTCTTGTGGTTTAGTACGGTTGAAATACCCAAATCCACTGAACTGCCAAAATTTGAGAGAAATCTTTGCTCCCCTTCCACCCAACGTCAAGGTCCAAGAAATCCAAGTGGTCCCCCCTGTCCCGGCCTCCGTTCCGGGATTCCTCCGGCCGATCCGCAGGCAGCCGGAGATGGCGGACGGCATGATGGAGTGCCCCAAGCCTAAGGACCCCAAGCCGCAGCGCCAGGACTCGGCGCCTCGGAGTCTCCTCGCGGATTGTGCGCGAGATGTGGCTCAAACATCCTGCGACCCAGGGTTACCCGCAGGTCTCTGTGGATGTGCTTTTGGTTTGGTTGTCGCCCAACCCCCAAAAAAGCAAATGGTGTGCCCAAAGGAAAATTGGGCGTGGCTCAGAATTAAACAGCCGGCGCAGACCGCAGGTTTCAGTCTACTTTTCCACGGTAAATGGGTTCCATTTTGGGGCCCAGTGAAATTTGACCCACAGCCAAATGGCTCCCTTTCCCGCACAAATGGATGTGGGTCAGAAAATGGTTCCTCAAAAATCAAAATGGGTTGGTCAGAAAATGGTTCCCCCAAAATGGGTGGGTCTGACAAAGGTTCCTCCAAAATGGGTTGCAATGGTGAGTGGAAACATTGCGTAGAACCTGCGGTGCAAAATGCCTGGTGCTTTGTGCCTTTGGACCCATACCCAAATCCAATTCCAAGTTTTTGGGGCTAAGCCATGTGAGAGGAATCTTCTTTGGCTGCGCTTTCGTCAGGGAAACCAACTAGGGACTCTGTATCCCCGCTTGTTCGTTTGTCCAATTGGGGGGAAGCCTTCCCCTTTCAATGCCTGGTGCTTGCGGCTAGAGTGGCCTTTGCCCATCCAATTGCTACCCTAGCAACATGCTTTGAGCCACTGTGGATGGTTGCGAAATCCATTTCGCACCACCTAAGAAACCCTGGAAGGATTCGATTCCCCTGTAAATACCAACAAACAATGCTTTCAACCATGGTTTCAAGGTGGTGCGATTTCTGGATTTCGCTTTTCCATCCACAGGGACGGGGGGCTTCGACGTTTTGACGGTCGAAGGGTCGCCCAAGGCGATCTCCAGCAGATCCTCGAGCTCTCAAGACACCAGCAGCAGCTCGCTCAGATCGGTTCTGGACCTTCGAGTGCTTTGCCCAAACCACAAGGTGAGCCAAGGATCACAGTTGCGTTTGTTTGGAGCCCAAACACTCTAGGGACCCCAAAGCTTTTTCAGTTTTTGTATATTTTGCGGAGTCAAAAGTCTAGGATGCTCAGGATGGTTTGTGTTGAGTTCTATGTGAACTTGTGGGAGGGTATGGGGCCAGAGGGTATGGGGTTCTATGTGAACCTGTTGCCTTTTAAGGTTCAGTAAATTCTGGGGCCAGAAGCGAGCATCTCATTTTCGGTGTGCAAAAGCTAAGTTCGAGGAGATCTCTTTCGAAGGATCTTTGCCAAGTCGTGTGGCGTCGTTTTGAAGGGGCGTGGGTACTTGGAGTCTTCATGACCCTGAAAAATGGGCTCATTAACCAAAAGAAAAGGGTCATGACCCCACTACTTAGGGGTCATGGAGACTCTAGGAAGCAACGGAAGTTTCTCTTTGAAGTGTGGGAATTGCCACTCTGAACCAATTGTTTCACGCCTAGTGCCCGTGTCTCCCTTGAGTGGGCTTCTCTTTCACATGGGCATGAGTTTTAATTTACCACCCTTTGGAGGACATCATTTAGGTGTGGATTCATGTCCACCAACCACTTGGGACATTGGCTCCCTATCAAAAGTTGTCGCCAAATCAGCGCGGCGCGGGAATCGAGGGTCAGCTTGTTCACGCTGTGCCCCTCTAGGACCCCTCTAGAGAGGATTGCCAGTCTATGGTCCATTGGGAGATCACGCAATTTCTCAAATAGAAGACTCAGTAAGTTTCTCGATCTCCTCTTGGGGAAACAAGTAGATTGACTGCGGCTCTGGAAAACAAAGGGAATTCCTTTTTCCTTGGTGCATTTCGCTTGGATGTTAGGACTTCAACTTTTTGCTAGCCAATGAAACGGTTTTCCATTGAACCACCAACAGTTGTTCACTTTTAGCAGGGGAGCAGATTTCGCAACCGAGTTTTGAGAAGCCTCCGAGGGGAACACGACTCCAGACTCTCCGAATGAAAGATTCGCCCGATCGCCCGAGTGCTTTTTTCCTAGGCGAGGAGTGGAATCCTCACACTGAGGCAAGTGCAGCTCGGGAGTGCGTGAGACCGAGTCTCCTTGACCGTTTTCGGGTCTCTTCCATTTGGTTAAGACTATTTCTTTTAATTTTCCCCTGTTGGTTTTAAAGGGAATCGATTTCACTACTGGAAATATTGAAATCGCTACGCGATCCGCCGACGCCAGTGGACAGTCCCCCATTGACAAACTGCAGGGTGCCTCAAGTTTGGGGTCAGGAAAAAGACGTCTTTTTGCCTAGGTCATTTTTCATGTCCCAGATGCTGAGGATGCTGGAAATGCAAGGGATGCAGCCACAGAACTTACAAGAACAAACCCAATCTTCACGCTCAAGATTTTAAGACTTTCACACACGCGACATTGACCAAACACAGAAAATACGAGAGTTGTGGGGAATGGGAATGCAGCCGGCTAGCCACAAAAAAGTGCAAAAAACCAGGGTTTTTCAATATTTCCCAAAAGCAGCCATCAAAAACCGATACCAGTATACTTCCAAAAGCACGATAATGCAGGGGATGTTTCGCAGGAACTGCTCCGTACAGGTGGGGAATAGATTTCAACAGTTCCTCAAGTGTCACTGCACTTGGCTTCACCCAAACCTCTAACAGGCCAATTCCAACATCGCTTGAAACAGCAAAACGCCACTAGTATCTGCAAAAGAAAGAGACAAATTCATGGCAACAAGATAATCCTGATGATGCTGGGGATGCAGATCCTGCGCATCCGGGGCCCCCTAGAGACCTAGGCGAAACGCAGATTTCTAGCACGAAAGCCCGAAAAACACTGGAAAAATACAGGGTTTTGGACACGTAGCCCAAAAATAGCAGTCCCAAAAGCCTTCGGCTTTGATAAGAGATTCCGAAGGAAGACCAAGTTGCGGACTGCCATCTACACGCTCCACTGGCGTCGGCGGATTTCTAGTTGTTCCAGGGGACTTGAGCAAATGGAGGGTCTGTCTTTCTTGAGGGGACCGCTCCATTTGCCGTTTGAAGCCACCAAAACACGGGATGCCTTGAAAAGAGACGCGCCCTCGTACAGTTCTACTGTCTGAGCCATGGATAGTACCAGGGTACCGGACTCGGGTGGCTCCGAGCACACACACATACGCACATACACAAATACATGCATGCGCACATGCCGCACATAAAGCTACACACACATACACGTACACCTCCATGCGCACATCATGGTTATGTACAAACCACTCCACCGGCCGGGGTTGTCCCCGTCAAGGTTGCCCAAAACAAGCCTAAGCCGAGCCTAAACTCGCTGGAGCCAGCCCATCATCTGGATGCCATGCCCCCCTCCCCGCTGTTGCACGACTGTCGAGCCGGGATTCCCCCAAAACAAGATCCTATGAATCAACCGGCCAGCTAGAGAGGAGCAGAAGCAGTCTTTTGTATATAGATTACAAAACATGCATGGCGCCCCAACTCAGCGCTGGGGAGCCTAAACGGTTCTAATAAATGGGTTCCGATCGCCAGCGAAGGACAATCAATTGTGTAGCATAGAACCATCTAGAACCCAATTGTTATCCATTCAACGGGTCGTCCAACCAATAGCGTAGATTTCCTCACCAAATTCCGGCATTTGGGGACCACCCTGGACAGGAGACGGAGGTCAACCTGAACGCCGCCGCCGAGATTGAGCCAGAACCTTCGCAGGCAGATCGATCCGCGTGTGAAGAAATCGGATCAACCCTGGCCCCTTCACTGTTCTTGGCATCGGCTCAATTCTATGATGTTGGATGCGTGTTGTGGGTCTGTTCCAGGGTTGTGGGATCAAGAGGTTTATCCCCACTTTTGTGATACAAGGGAATCCCCTTTTTATGTGGGGGGTTGGTCTTTGGGAGGCCCTCTTTCACACATCCCCACTTGGGTCTGTTCCGTTTTGGTGGCGGCCTGCCAAGAATGTGTGATGATCACATGCCAAAGACTCTTGTTTCATTCTGAATCAACAACTCATCGGAGTGCAGGAAGGGGCAACTTTTAGGCGGGTTCTTCACTGTCCAAAGCACGGAATTTCTTCAGATCTCCCTTGCTCCCTAAGTGTTCATCAACATACGCGTATGTGTATATATATATATACATATATATATATATAATGACATATATATATATATATACATATATATATATATATGTATGTATATATATATATACATACTTATACACGCATACGCCACGTGTATGTGTATATATATATATATGCATTCACATACACACATATACATATATACACTTTGGATGTCCTTTTTGAATGATCGCTGATCACATGGTTCCCTCTATGCCCCCATGCATCACCCAAGGACATACATGTATGGCCCAACAGATGATGTTGATGTGTCTCCTTGTGAAGTTGGCATCGCCAAGAGACCATCCCCAAGATGAAGCTCAACTACCCCGACATGACGACATTTTTGGGAGAAGTTGGGTGTGTTGACCCCTAGCTGCATACAAAAGGAATAGCATCCCTCCTTTTGCGTTCATAATGGTAATGACAATTATCTTGGAGTACAAGCAAAACAGCCCCTTTCGCGCCTTTCTTGCTGGTGCTCAGCAGGGGATGTGGCATGGAATGAATCTGCTTGAGCCCATCCATCCTCCGGTGTCCCCTTTCTTGGGGACTCCGGGCTCCCCAAATCGGGAAAACACCCACAGGAAGCCACCCATCCCATCCATCTGGTCTTGTTTCATTCGGGACAGCCCAAGACCGGTGGATGTTCGAATCGCCCGGAGGGTTTCGGTCCCCGCCGAAAAACGCGCAGCGATCGCCGATGTCGGTGTTGGCCGAGCCGGCCGAATCGCCAGGTACGACGCAGTCGCAGCCTTTCCTGGGGCTCGGGCACCGAGAATTGGCAGATTGGGTGGAAAAAAACAACAGTGTTTACTCTTATCATTTGTGTAAGGCATTGTTTTGTTTAAAGGGGAAAGAGTATTTTACAATTCTTAATATGTTTACTGCATTTATGTTGTTTCTTTAAAGAGGAAAGAGTGTGGTTGTTGTCTTCCTTGCTCTATAGGGAGGTTCCCTGGTGCCAATTCAGGGAGGGTACCCCAGGTGTCCACAAAAGTTACCATCAGTGAAAGCAAAGCTGGGGCCGGGCCAAAATCAAATTCAACCGGGGTTCCCCTTGTCACTTGTGTCAATGAGTCCTATACATATATACATATGTATATATATATATATATGTACCCAAGCAAAAAAGGGGGGGCGCTGAAAGGCAGCGTTGGCAAACAGTCCAGCAGCTGACATACATTTTTTTCCTCGGGCAAAACCTATGGGAAACCATGACCCATAGGTTTTGCCACGGACGTTTGCTTTTGAGGGTATCCTTTTGACTGCGCGAAAAGGGAAAGTGACAAAAACACCACACCCTGAGTATGAGCAGCCAGAAAATGTTACGCCCTCCACCCCCGAAAAAGCAATACCCTGGTAATATTGTCCGCTGTTCAAATGCGACAGGATCGTGCAGTCGTTTTGGGGACCCCTTTGCGGTGGCATGTTATTAGGATTTGTTTTGGGTTCTGTTCATTTTAGTAGGTGCAAAAAAGGCAGTTTTTTGCTACCATGACAAGGGTTGGATTCACCAGCCAGGTGTTCTTTCAGTCTTTTTGAATGGCTGGTTTGAGGTCACATTCAAAACGGGAAGCTCTTCCCCCAGTTTGAATGAAAACCAAAGGAAGCTGTTGCCATGTGCAGGTGTCACTTTTTTTTGCTGGGTGGAACATCCTCAAAGAATTGGGTGGTGGACAGAAGTCTTTTTCAGATGTCCACCAAATAGTCCCCAATCACAGAAACCCAATTGAGCCACAATCAGAGCCTGGGCACAGGAAGGTTAGTGGAAAGTCCCCTTACGAGGCGCCAATGTTTTGTGGTCTATTTTTGGTTTGTGGAGAGCATCGGGGAGTTGGGGCCGGAACTTGCTGTGCACCTAGGATAAGTGTCCGAGAGTTCTCATTGAACGGCAAGGCTGATATGATATGAGGTCTGAGCGAAGGCTTGCGTTTTCACCGTCAGAAGTGAAAGAAGGGAAGACTCTAGGGGTAATTTCCATTTCCATTCTTTCCGAAATGGCTGATTTTTGAAAAGAACGATGGCTGAAATGAATGGAGAATCAACTCCTAGAAAGACTCGAGCAGGTCCAAATCTTCATCCCTCAATGGAGAACGGGCGGTGCAAAGGTGGTCTTCGGAAGCGAATGAACAATCTGCGATGAGCTCGAAGTTATAACTATGTGCCTTGCCACCATCAAAACCTCATAACATGTACCTTCTGAGGGTTTTAGGATCGCAACCCACAGGGAAACCCTATCCCTCCAGCCCACCTTTTTTGAAGCTAGCAGCTTTCAGCTATATAATGCTATTGCTATTGCTATTATTTGGAGCTAGTCCAGCCAGCCCGGTGACTGTCCTCGCTTGCCGTTTCCTGTAGCAAACTTCTCAGTTCTCGCTACTTAAGCAGTCACTTCTGGAATGGTGTCCACTCCTGCCCTATGGGCTCGCCTCTGGCTTTTGTGGATTGTCAGGCTTAGTGGTGCCATGTTCTTGCAGCTGCCTTGCGGAATCATTCAGGGTATGAACATCGTATGAACCCTTCATGGAGCCAATTCCGCGATGGCCCTTTTGGATTTAATTTGTTGCTCCCCTTCCAACGTCGACCAAGCTTCTGGGATTTTCTTCATCCACATAGTGCATTTCTTCCAGGGAGCTCTCCCGTGCTTTCGAGCGGAAGACGCGCGTTTTTTTCTGAGGCCAACTTCGGGAGGGCATCCAAGGACCGACGGGACGCGGAGGGGGGGGGAAGAGCTGGTCTGCCCAGACCCTGAGCGGGTTGGTTTTGTTTGCTAGGTCCCCCAGTAGTGCCCTTTCTCACCCATCTTTGGGGGGAGGGTTCCCCTACTCAAACAGACTACAGAAAAGGGTACCCTTATTCTACTCAAATCTGGAGGACTAGATTGTAATTTCAACTTCGACCACCGGAACACTTCAGAGCGGCTTTTTTTGGCCGTGGCCGCTGGAGGTCTGGGTATGAAAGCCTGAAGACACGAATCAGATCTGAGTAGGAAGCCCTGAACAAAGCCCTGGTTGGCTTTCGTGGGGATGTTTCTTTTTTGGCATTCTAGCTTCTAGATCCACACCCCCAAACGGCCGCCACATAGGTCCATGACAGAAAAGGGTGGCCATTTGGATGCGTCTCTTTTTTGAGTCAGTACCCCTCTTTTGGTTAGCTTTAAAGGGAGACCAAAAAGAAGCACAAAATTTTGGGGGTCCCTTAGCACCCAGTTGTTTCCCCGCGTCCCTTCAAAATCATCCCAGCCAAAAAGGGTGTCTTTTTGCTCCGCTGGAAATTCATGCGGCCACGGCGACCCCCGCCTTAATCGCGGATAGGGGAGTGTTTAACTTGAAAATGTTTTGGATCCCCTCTGCGAGTTGATCAGGGCTCCTTAAACGATACATGTTGCGCGTTTGAAACGTGGCTGTTTCCACCAAATAAAGGAACACCACCATTCAGAAGGCAATGTTCAGGTGTAAAATGTAAGGATCCCTGTTGATACCCTTTGATTTCTTGTGTTTGGAAGAGACTGATGAGTTCTCCGGTTCGCGATGCCGCCACTCCAACTGTTGTCGGTCAAGCGGGCAAGATTCTTCTTGCTATTGGCCATGGCATCACTTTAGGGGGCCCAGTTTTGGTGCCACCTCTTTTCGCCAACCCATGTTGTTCCCTTGGATTTTTCATTTTGGCGTTTAACTTGTTGCCTTCCTTTGCTCGCTTGACGTGTTTTTGCTCTTTGTGGGTTCCATCACTGCCCTCGCCGGCACAGCATCTTCCGGGGTGCAAGCCGTTTCGGGCGTTTGGAAGGTTTCGGCATAGCAACCTTGGCTTTCAGGAAACCAACCGGAACACCGGGGGCTTGGTCCAATGCTTCGGAGCGTCTTGCAGCTGGGTGAAGGTAAATGGCACCATGCTACCATTTGGGTTTTATGCCCTCCTAAATCAAGGGAACTGTGCCATCTACTTTCTGGCGTAAAAGGAAGCAGCCGGCCAGTGGCGGTTGGGTTTTGTGAATTTGGGGCGGTTTGGGTGGCTCTTGCAAATCACCCACCCTTTCTTTCACTAGCAAAAAGGGAAATAAGCAAGCTTGGGTTGGGTTGGCAAGCAACCAGAAGGAAAGCCACCATTCTTTGCCGAACCTATTTTGATACGTACCCGACTGTTCTCACAACCTTTTATCTGGGGTCTCCTACATTCTTTCGTCAATTAAACAAGTGATTAAGGTGAGTGTTCCTCAAACATGTTCAGAACTCATTTTTTGACTGTTCTTCATAGTATGGGCCGGAGTCTAAGATACTCTCCTGCAATCTTCCTCTAAGCACTCTTGCACAAGCTCCTCCAGTTCGTAGGTGTTTTTATCCCACTCACACCTTCCCCAAAAAAGTGCCGCTTTGGCCTGCCACGCCCTTCAGCTGCGGGTCCATCCACAGCTCGGCAAACTGACGCGAAGAAAAAAAAAGAGCCGAATCCCAGGACCGCAGCTGAAGCGGCTCATGACCTGCCGCACCGAGGTCTTCAGGCCATGGGTCGAGTCGAAGAAGAGTCGCCCCCCTCGTCTTTCTTCTTTGGTGTATCGATCGAGTCGATAAACACCGAGAAAAAGGAAAACAAAAAACATTTGTTTCTTATTTGGTGTGTGCTTTTGTGTGTCAAACGGGGCATACCCCGAAGAAGGTGAGTTGTTCTTTTGGGGTTCCCTTACCACAGGAAACAAAAAGGGTAGCCTGAATAGCCACGTCAGGAAGGGACTCGTTTTGTCCATGCGAAGTGGAGGTCAAACAGGATGGGTGTCGGCAACACAGGGGCCCCGTCAAGACTGCCTGAATTCCTGGACCGGTTTTTGCCAGTCCACTCAAGGAACGTCCAATGTCCCAGTCTCCAGACTTGAAGCTTTTGGGGAAGAACATCTTAGTACTTCAAGAGTCTGAGCTTTTCCTGAGCAATCCACTCAAAAAGCAAGATCAGGATTCTTTCCCAATGTTATCTGAACCCTTGCATGGTTTGCCAAGATGTTGTTGAACGGGAACTGAAGGGAAGTCTTTGGTAATGTATTGGGTTCTCAAAAGGTGGATCCCGTTTGCTGGAATAAAATCCATAAGGAAACAACCAATTTCTATGGGGCCAAACCTGAGGCCCATCACGCCTTGAAACCGCGATATCAGAGGCTTAGCCTCCAGAAGGGATGGTTTTGCTTAAAAAAAATCAAAAAGGAACCCAAGGTCTTGTAAAAAAGAATGGCAATTTAACCTGATGCCCTTCAACTCTCCCTCACCCCCCCCCAGCTCAGAGAAACAAGTGCTTGCTGAACAGGACGGCTTGGTTTTTGGGCTGTGCTGAAGGAAGCTGCGAGACGTCCTTTCATTCCCGTCAACTAAAATGAAGGTAGTCATCTTCCTTGTCCCTTTGCATCCCCTATTTACGTGGAACCCAAAAGAGGTCCCCCAAAAAGTAGATTCCTCTTTGAGTTCGCTGGGTTGACTCTGTGTCTGTTATGCATGGTGGTTTGGGTTCCACTGGACAAGGTAGTTCCCCTCATAAATCAACACGACCAAACGAATGCCCCCGCAAGAATAGTTTCTTTTAGAATGAGGTTCCATATTAATCTGAGGGGATTCAGTCACCAACAAACAATCGGCATTCCAGGCTATTCCAGGATCTTGTTCTAGCCTGCCTGTATTGGAACAGGGCAGGGGTGGATTTAGCTGTGTAACAGGTTGATAGTCCACCCCGTGCCTCCAAAGCCACTACATAAGTCTGTAAGGCAGTATACTCTTGTTGTAATAGTAGTATATAACCTCTTCATTGCCAGACTTAAGTAACCGTTTTGCTCTTTTGAAAATCTGGGGTTGCCTTGACTTTCCCTTTTCACCATGCGTTTCTTGTTTTGACCCGGGGATCCAAGTCTGGCCCAGTAGCCTCCACATAGCTGCGACGCCTCACACGTTCTCCGAGAGGCGTCCTCACATTTTCCAGCGCCGCGGCGGTGTGCCCAGCGAGAAGGAAAGACGGATCCGCACCAAAACTTGGCTTCCAACCCCAAAGCTACACCAAACCAGCCTTTAGACCAACCCCTTTTTCTATCAACCCCAAACCAACCTTTCAAAATCCTTGGGAAGAAAATGTGCCCCTTTGCAATGTACCTTCAATATTGCTTTCCAGCTCCCTGTTTAACACCCGCACAAGCACAGACATTTGTACTCTCCAAAAACAAGCCAGCCTTAGCCCAGATCAGGGAAAGTGAAGGATAGACATGGGATGAATGCCTCTTTGACTAAATGGATACGTAAGTCCGAGCTTTGAATTAAGCTTTCACGACTCGGACCAATCTACGGAGTTCTGGGGCATGCTGCAACAAACCGGGGCCTTTTGGATTCAGAGGCGACCGATAGTTTTCGGTTTTTGCGGGACAGTTTCGCTTTTCTTTCATTCCAAATCCGCGGGGTGAGGCAGGCGGAAACACACACACACAGACACACACACACACACACACTGACACACACACACACATACACATACACCTACACCTACACATACACATACACATACACATACACACATACATATATATATATATACACATCATGAGTAGCATCTCTCCACGCTTCCTAGCCATTGCTGGCCAGACGGACGCGCCCATTCGACCGGGCACGTCATCTTACGCAACCCTTTTCGCATCGTGTTAGCGCAGGGATCCGCGGCAATTGTCTGATTTACGGTACTGGTGGGTTGCATTTGCCACTGTTGAACTGCTGCAGTATTGTCATCTCGACAGTGGCAACAATAGAGGGGTCATTCTGAGACGAATCATCCGGGGCCACAACCCAGCAAGATGACGTGTGTTTTACGGAGTCTGGCGAGCATACCACCGATGGAGTGCATCGACAGCTCCTGCCTTTTCTACTTGCGTTGGGAAGCCCCCTGCAATCGAGTTCCATGTGAATCTGCTAAGCGGGCAAGACGAGTTCCCTGTAGTGCCACTTGGGGGTTCATTTAGCCATCACTTTTTTGTTTTCGGGGGCCAATGCAAAGTGAGTTGCCTTTTGCTGGGATGATGTTCAGAAAGGGAAAGATAGGGAGCCCGGTAAGAGTGCAGGCAAGAAGCTGGCCATTTGGAGCCACCATGGAGCCACCTGCCGAGATGCTCGATGCATCGACCCCTTGATCGAGCCCATGGAGCTGGTGAATACAATGCACACAGGCAGGACTTGGGCCAGGCAAGTTATTGTGTTTTGGTGGTCTCCGATTTTTTGTGCAGGTTGACGGGTGTTGGGTTTGGCTTGCCGTGGTAGGGTGGCTTCGTTGAGGCTGGCTCAAGCCCTGTTCGGCTAGGTCCAGCCCTGTTTAAGGTCCAGCCCTGTTTAACATGGCGTTGCATTCGCCATGCGAATTGGATGCCAAGTGACTGGCAAGCGTGGCAAAGAACAGCCTGGAGCTGTGTGACATGCCTGGAGGTGGCTGAGGACGGCCAAGCGCTGGAGCTCGTCTTGGAGGAGCTGTGTGGCGAGCGGGAGTCCCGGTCGCCTCGGAGCTCCTTGGAGCTGGAGGCGGGTGGAAAAGACCTGGAGGCACCTCAGAGCAGCGCGAGGACCGAAACTCTGTCCTGGAGGCGGCGAAGAAGACTTTGACAAAGACCCGAGCAAAAGTGGAGTGGGCTGGCCAGTGCTCAGCGAAGACAAGGAGTTCTTGCAGCAGTGCGTTGATAACTGCGGACTGGCCTTAGTACCAGGGCTACACCGCCTTCCACAACATGAGGGAGCGAGAGGTCCTCACCACTGGCACAAGGAGCATACGGCCCAGTCTGCGCGCACGCGGAGGCGAAGGAGCCGCAACAGTGTGCTTTGATATCGATATCGAACCACATTGTCGCGGTTCTGGCGACTCCGCCGACTTTGGCAGGTGGATGGCAGTACGGCGCTGGCTTGTCAGAGCCGAGCGACCAAAGCGTGAATGAGCCCAAACTGCCAAGGGGGTTCTTCCAGAACGGCGGCCAATCTTGCAGCTGGCGGCTGCTCCGACTCTCAGCAGGTGGACGCAAATGGGGATGCGCAGGGAAAAGGTTGGGGTGGTCTTCTATTGGTGGCTCCCATTCGCTCATTTGCTTTTTCGGGTTGAGTGGGAAGTTTCAGAATTAACCCGGCCAAAAGTTCATTTTAGCCGGGGATCTGAAAGCGGAGAGCCCAGTGAAAGTTGAAACTGCTCAAGATCTTGGCTCCGCTCACTGGAAGGGTCTGAGCTTGACTGCTGGTCCTTTGAAGCAAGCCAGAAGGGTAGCCTTCTAGCGGGTTGATTCCTTCTCCATTCTTTTCAACCATCGTTCTTTCCAAAAAACCGGATCCGTTTCCCTGGGCTTCCGGAGGTTTTCTAGAAAGACCCCTGGAAGGAACGGGGAAGGTACCCCTAGCCTCCGACACGGCACACCTCGCGCACATGTCAAGGGTTTTGATTGGGGAGCCAACTGCCAGTCAGCATGGATCCATGTCACCAACCTTTGCCAAGAATATCTGGAAGGAGCCCCGTAGGGATCGCTCGCGTCCCATGCGGTCAGAGTGTTTCTTTTTGATCACGATTGTTCACTTGCGAATTGGGTTGGGGATTTGATCCCCTGGTTCTTGTTCTTGTTGAACCAAAAGGGAAGGCACACCCGGAACCTCCAAAGCACCCACCCAAGCCACCAAACAACGCAACAACACGTGTGTTTCCATTCATCACAAATTATATATTCCGGGAGTATTTGTTTGTTTGTTGATTTTTCTTCGGGCAGTAGATTTAGACATGTACCTGCGTTGCCCGGCATGTCAAAAAGTCATACTCTCTGCTCAAGCGTTGTGTTTCGGCCTCATGCGTTTCGCAGTGCACTTCTCAGCAGCAACGCATTGCTCCAGGCCAAATGTTGAGCGTTGAAACACACGCGTCCCCCACTTACAAGGCTAGTTATTCACAAGAAGTCAGTGAAGTTGCCACACACCCAGAGGAGATCTTCTCAAAAATCGCCCTTCACCACCCAAAAACATCCTGAAACATGGGTGATTGCTCAAAATTCTGGGGTCACTGGGTGAGTTCTCCCTTTTCAATACTGTGGGATGGACGCAATCCTGCACCACCTAAGACACCCCCGGAATGATTCGATTCCCTTGGAAACACCAACAAACGCTATGGCTTCAACCATGGTGGCTTATGTGGTGCGAAATGGATTGCGACCATCCACAGTTCCTCCCTTTGACCATCACCCCAAAATGAGAATCTCATCTTGATATGCTTGGAAACATGTGCGGTTGGGGGTGTCCGCAGGGTTGGACCAAATGTGTTCAATCACCAAATGTGTTCCCCCGCAGTATTAAACCCTCGAAAGACCAAGAAACTAGGAAGACCCCAGGAGAAAAAAAAAACACGAAACCGCCCGGAAATCTCCGGGAAAACCGCCGAACACGGCAAAAGAAAAACGCCACGTCGTTCGAGGGCGGCGCCCTTATTCTACCCTCTCAAAATCTGGAGGAAGTTGATTCTGGGTCCAAGTAACTGGTTTGTGGCTGGAACCGCCGGGTCCGGTCCCGGAAACGAGCGGCGCAAGTCCGAGAGGGCGGGCGGCGCAAAAAAAAAAGAAGCCGCGAGGCGTGGGCCACGCGGGGCGCAGGGCCTCCATGCGGATCGCCCAGGCCATGCGGGTCTGAAGATCCACTTGGGTCGCTCGTCCTCGTTTGGTTTAGGGTCCGCTACCGCAAAAGATATATATATATATACATAGAAATATACATACATAGATATACATATATATATATATATATATATACACATGTATCAGCTAAATGTTTCAAATGTAGTTCATGTCTGGGTGACCATATATATATATATATAGGTATATATACGTATATACAGGCAGACATACATACATACATATATATATATATATATTTACCAAATACATGCTCCAAATGTGTTCATGTGTGTGTGACCATATATATATATATACACATATGTATATGTATATATATATATATATGCTAAGCAATCGTATTTGGCGACGTTGTTCCGCGCGGTTTCCGCAATAAACACGGGAAAACTCAAACAGCGAGAAAACCAAGAAAACCGGAAAACCGAGAAAATCGGAAAACCGAGAAAACCGAGAAAACCGAGAAAATCGAGAAAACCGAAAACCGAGAAAATCGGAAAACCGAGAAAATCGAGAAAATCGAGAAAACCGAGAAAAGCGAGAAGACCGAGAAAAGCAGAAAACTCCGTTGCTGGCTCTCGTGGCTTTCGCCTTGTTCTTGAAGCTTGCGCTTTTTCACCGTTCTCCCATGCTTGCGTTTCGCGGTTTTTGCGTTTTCAGGGTTCTCACGATGTTCGGGTGTTCGCAGTTTTCGCGTTTTCTGGTTTTCACGTTTTAGGGGTTTTCGCGGTTCTTCGTGATTTTCCTGTTTTCGCGGTTTTCGTGTTTTTTGGGGGTATTCGCGATGTTCGCAGGTGTTCGCTGCAAGTTTCCGTTGATAGTATGCTTAATGGCCTTGTGCTTTGAGCCCCAGCGATAATATAAATAATGATAGGTAGATAGATAGATAGATAGATAGATAGATAGATAGGTAGATGAAGTACATTGGATTAGATTGGATTAGATAGAAAGATAGATTCGTTAAATACATAGCACGGTAAGATAGGACAACATGGGATAAGATAGGATAAGACAGGATAAGATAGAATAACATAGGTTCAGATAAGATAAGACAGGACAATTTAGGATAAGATGAGGTATGCAAGATCAACAAGGTAGATAGTATAGATATGGTGTGTATGATAATCAAAGTAGATAAGGCACACAAGATAGATCAGACAGATAAGATGGAACAAGATAGTGAGATAGATACGAGGCGACAGATAGGACAAATAGAAAAGATAGAACAGAAATGATAGATAGGACAGATAGGTAGGTGTCTAGATAGATAGAACATGATAGAACGATAGATCGATAAATTGATGAACGAATACATTGATAAATTGATATGTAGATAGATACATAGGATAAGATAGATAGATAGATAGCTAGATAGATAGATAGATAGCTAGATAGATAGATAGATACATAGATACATAGGATAAGGTAGAGTACGCTAGAATAAGTCGGGATAATATAGGGCAAGATAGGATAAGACAGGATGAGACAGCATAAGGCAGGACATGATAGAATAGAATTGCTAACAGATGATGATATATATATATACATGGACATATATATATATATGTATATAGGGTATGTCACGGTAAGATAGGCCAACATGGGGTAAGGCAGGGTAAATTAGAACAAACCATGGTAAGATACCATATTATAGGATAACATACGCTACGGAAGCTAAGACAGGATACTATAGAGGTAGGTAGGGTAGATAAGGTAGATACGGTAACTTGGATAGACATTATAGATAAGGTAGATAAGGTAGATAAGACATAAGATACATCAGATAGATAGGCTAGAAACGATGCATAAGCTACACACGATCAGATACATAACAAAGCTGGACAAGGTAGGATAGATAGAATAGGTAGATAGGTAGGTAGGTAGATAGAAAGACAGATAGGATCAGATAGGGTGATATGAGATAAGATATCATAAGATAGGGTAAGACAGGATAAGATAGGATACGATGGGATAAGATAGGATGAAACATGATAAGATAAGTTAGCAAGGTTAATATAGGATCATATATTATAAGAAAAGACAAGGTAGGTAATGTAGATAGGTAGATACGGTACGTAAGATAGCTCAGATAGATAGGGTAGAATAAGATAGATAAGATAGGTACGATGGGATAGATGGGAACGATAGGATAGATAGGAATGATAGGATAGGTGGGTGGGTAGGTGGGTAAGTTGGTAGATAGATCTATAGATAGATACATAGAAACAGATAAGATAAGGTAGGAACATATATCACCATGCAAGATAAGGTAGGATAACATGGGATCAGATAGGATAGGAGAGCGCAAGACAAGAGAGGATAGTAAGGCTAATACAGGATAAGATAGAACACGATAGGATAAGGTAGGATACGGTAGGAAAATCGGATTAGATGGGATAAGACAGGATGAGGGTAGGATAAGACAGGATAAGATAGAGAGATAGGTAGACATATCGACAAATAGATCGATCGGTACATATGATAAGATAGGCTAAAACAGGATAAGACACGGTAAGATAGGCCAACATGGGATAGATGCAATCAGATAGCATAATACAGGCCAAGGTAGGATATGATAGGAAAAGATAGGCTAATATAGCATACGACAAGATAATATATGATAAGATAAGACAAGGTAGGTAAGATAGATAAGGTGCATAATATAGATATCATGGATATGATAGACAAGGTAGATACGACATATTACGATATTTATCACACAGACAGTATTATGATATTTATCAGATAGATAAGATGGACGCTCTAGATAAGCTAGATATAATGAGTTAAACAGGACAGGTATAAACGGTTTTATAGATAGGACAAATACGTTCAACACATAACTAGATAGATAGACAAAGTGATCGATATATCGATAGATAGATCGATAGATAAATAGATAGGTAGGTAGATGGTTAGATAAAATAGATAAATAACAGATATATATATATATATATATGGATATAAATAGATAGATATAGATAGAGATAGATAGATAGATAGATAGATAGATAGATATAGATAGATATAGATAGATATAGATAGATATAGATAGATATAGATAGATATAGATAGATATAGATAGATATAGATAGATATAGATAGATAAAAAGATACATAGATAGATAGATAGATGCATAGATAGATAGATACAGAGATAGATCAATGGACAGACATAATATGGGATGAGTTTGCCGCCTTTTCAAACTGTTTTGTCGCGTGAAAGTTGGCATTGAGGAAACGAGCGAAAGTTGGCATTTTCACGGTGTTCACCGCTGACGTGGGTTCGCACGTTCACAGTTTTGCGGTTTTCGCGGTTTTCGCGTTTTGTGCCGTTTTCACGGTTTTCGTGTTTTTTGCCGTTTTTGTGGTTTTCGCGGTTTTCGCGGTTTTTGCCGTTTTGGTGGTTTTCGCGGTTTTCGCGGTTTTCGCGGTTTTCGTTTTTTTTCTCCGTTTTCGCGGTTTTCGCGTTGTCGCATTTTTGATTTCAATATCCGCTTTGCGCACGTGACGAAAATATCGCACAGTAAAGCTGTCGGGGTGGCCGTTGAGTTTTCCACTTCGGGGTGGCCGGACAGGTCCAGGGTGAGTTGAAGGGTACGTGGCCATGGCGCTGCTAAGCATGCGAATTGGATGCGTCTTTTGGGGGAGCCAAGCAAGCAGAATCATGGCGGTACTGGTCTTTGCTTTTGCCAGGAAGCACAAAAACGGAACCTCCTGGATCGATGTTGAGTGACCTTTTTGTGTGCTTGGTGTCACGCTCTTGAATTTTGAGGAGGGGCCTGAAATTTGCGCAAGGGCAAGGTTGGAAAGCTTCGAATTTTCGAGTTTTCACATTTTTCGCGCAAACTGTGTTTTCAATTTGTTTTTCAATTTTCGTGCTTTTCGAATTTTCATGTTTTTCGAGTTTTCGCGTTTTTGAGTTTGTTTTTGGTTTTCGTGTTTTTGTCGTGTTTTTTCGTTTTTTCAAGTTTTCGCGGTGACATTGCGCTTCTCCGGCTGGAACTACGACACTTAAAAAACACACACACACACACGTATATGTGTACACGTGGTGGCTTGCCTTTGGTTTCCCCTCAAGATCACTCGTTTGTGGCTTTCCAAAAGGAAAGTGAAAAGGAGAGCAGAAGTCATTTTGGAAGTATGGTTCCTGAGAAAAGCAACATGAATTTGGGTCTGCCTTTCTTTTGAGATTCGGTACCCGTGGGGTTGCTTTAGAAAACCAAAGAGACAAAACACCTAAGACTCGGGGTCCCCTATGGTGAATTCGTAGGGGAGGTGGAAGGATTTTTTGGCCTAGACTGAGTTTGAAGAATGGTTCCAAGAGAGCTTCCCCGGCTTCCACCACCCCACCAGTTCGAGTGTCCAAAGAAACGGAGGGGCTACCTGGTTTCATGGTGTGAGCCTATATGTAAAGACCAACTACCTGGTTTCATGGCATATACTACCTGGTTTCCTGTAAAGACTTACAAGACCAACATACTGCAAACCACTGACATATAGCCTAGGCTGTCAAACCTGGTGCAGTGCTTGGATTCTAGTAAGACCAAAGAGACACCTCCCAGCTGCAAAGACAACTCGTGCACCAACAGTGATGACTACACCCTTTCAATCAACCAGTGCTTTTTTTCTCCATGGGTTCAACCATTTTTCACGTCTACACATCCTTCTTCCCTTTGCTTCGGGCTGCAGCTAGTATCTCGCCAGGAGAGCCAGGAAGTAGGCCGGAGCCTGAGAGGAGTTGGGATGGGAGCTAAACCCGTGAAGAGCGTCTGTATTGAACCTCGGGGCGCGAGGGGCGCGGCTCAAAAGTAGCGCCATGCGCACGAGATGTCACTCACCGAACTCCCCAAGCCATGTCTAATGGATGAAAAAGGCTGTGGAGAGGATGGAAGGTGATGGATAGGGGAGGGCTAGTTCGCTATTTCTCTTTTCCTCATGCCCTCTCCCTCACCCATCCTCGTCACTTCTCCAAGAATTGCGGAAGTGGACATTTTGGGGCGTCCACAAAAGAAAGTGGTCGTCCACAACCCTCCTGACAGCTTCTATGATTGTTGGAGGGAGGATATGATTACCCCCTGGGCCACGCGTTCCATTCTTCGTTTGGGCGGCTTGGGCTTTCGAACAACAAGCACAAAGGGGTTCCCAATCAAAGGCAGACCCACATTTCACCCTTCAGAACCCCCCTTGGATAACAAGGTTCCTTCAGAACCTTTGGGTGTAGTTATAGTTTGAGTGCTTCTTGCTTGAGTTGGCAACCTTTTACCTTGTTCTTGAAGGTTTCTTCCGTACTTTCAGTCAAGGCGCACAACAAATAACACCTAGTGTTGACCAAGCAACGCAGCTGGTAAGCCTTTGCTCAGCGTTTTCTTGCTTGGTAGGAATGTATCTATATTCTCCCTCTTGGTCTTATAAGGAATCTGCCACTATTGCTCATATCATGCTTTTTTTTGGGGGCGTAAGCAAGTGGCGGTTATATGGCGGTTTTTAGGGACTTGGGTCCTTTTCTGGGCTTGGCCTACGGGTCCCTTGGCCCGGCAGAGGTCAGTTTCCTTTTGTGTCTCAGAATTGTTTCTTTGGCGCATCTTGCCAAGGGTTGTTAGGACTTTAGCTGTTTGCCAACTAATGAAACGGTTTTCCGTATTAAACCACTGAAAGTTAAACCTTTAGCAGGGGAGCAGAAAGCAACCGAGGTTTGGTAGCCTTCGAGTTTCCCAATAGCCCACAAGAAGCATAGCCTGTGGCCCTTGGCGACGCCAGTCGCTGGCCATTCTACTTTGCTGCATTTTGCCAAGGGATGTTAGGACTGAACAACTTTTTGATCCAACCAGTGAACCGGTTTTCCGTATTACACCAAAAGTTGTTCCCTTTTAGGGGAGCGGATTTCGCAGCCAATGAAACGGTTTTCCGCATTAAACCACCAGAAGTTAAACTCACTGGTAGCAGGGCTTCGCAGAAAAACCGCCACCGAGTCCATTGGGATCGGGATGCGAGGCTCCAATCACGGCACGCCCCGCATGCTCTTTGCGCTGCACAAGGTGCTCCGGTCTCCTCAACGGTTTTGTCGTTGGGTAGACCAGATATGAAACAGATGCAGGATCCATAGATGTGTTGGGGCACGATTTTGTCTACTACAATGGCTAAAATCATTCGAGTATGGGATTATCATTCGAAAATCATCTCAGCAATTATTCAACCCCATAGATTATTTCACCTGGTCGGAGTAATGGAACTAAGCCCATCGGATTACGAGTCATATCCCCCATCGGATTTCGGGAGCGCCAGCAGATTGAACCTGCATGTGCAGAGCGCTTGGGACCTACCGCGATCCAACTTGCGCCACTGTTGCGTACATTTGCAAGGTTTGCTTCATGTCTCCCTGAAGGTTGCAGACGCTTGGAAGCTTTGACGGTTCCGCTGATGTCACTTTGTTTCACCCAGCGCAGGCAATCAAGGGAACCACACCTCTTCCAAAGGACCTGGGTCATTTCGGGCTGGAAGAATCGAAAATGTCGCACCCCGGCCTGGTGAACCTTCCCTCTAAAATGGGACACCCCCGTATTCACCAACCATTGCTCCCATTATTGAATGAGTGTCATGCATCTCGTCCTCCCGGAGCATCCTCGCTTGCCTCATCAAGCCCCCAAGTGTTTCCTCGGACAGGAAACGGAAAAGGCCCCCTGCTAAGCAAGAAAAAGCTTCAAACCCCAAAAAACCCAATACCCCAATACCCCAAACCGAATTACAGAGGTCACTAGCTGGCTTGCGCGAGGGGAGAACTCGATTGCTCCGGGGCAGAGTGCGCTCGGGTGTCTCTTGTAGCATTTGAGGACTGCCCAGCGGTCTCCAACTCTTGGAACGCTTCCTGGACAGGCGGTGAGTGGTAAGAAAGCCAAATGAAAGAAGACTCGAACAGATAGGGATGTTCATCCTCATGACCCGGCAAGGAGTTGGGAGAGTGAATGCGGGATTGGGAAGGTGAACGGCGAGGGCGAGGGCTTGTACAAACACACCAAGTACATTGCACAACTTTTTTGTGGGTAAGCAATGCCATCTACACCCAGCTGCAATCGGAACCCTATCAGACCCAACCTGCGGGTGAGGGCTGTTGTCGCGCACTGTGATTTCCAAGCTCAGCGCCCTCTCTCCTTTTTGTGCTTGCTCATATTTGTGAAGCACGAAAGTCGCTAGCTCTCCGATTTTCCCTCAAGCTGCGTGAGTGGACCCCCATTAGGTGGAGAATGGGATGAACAACTTGCTCACCCGGATGAACACCATGGAGAAGTCCATGAGCTCCAACCGCTCTTTGGCTCAGAACCTTGCAGGGGCTGGGCCTTGGGTTGCGAAAGCCAACCCCCAACATGCCCTCGGAATTGACACACCCTTGTTGGATTTCCTGACTTCTTGAAATCCGGGGAACGACCTGCATGAGCTTTGCGGTCGTAGCTGACGGGAAAGAGCTCGCCTGTGCAAAGTGCCATAATACCAGATAGTTGTGTTTGGACAGCAACTTGCTAATCTTGCTGCTCGAAGCCATCCTTTCTTGGCTTAAGGAAGCCCGCCTCAAAGAGTCGCAAGGCCAGCGACCGATGGATCAATTCGGGGCGACCCCGGATTTGAAGCGACGGCAAGCCATTGGGAGAAGTTCCCTGTCGCAACAAGATAAACCCCATATGCAGCTTGCATCTTTCAAACGTCCTGGTAGAACCCAACGTCAATGGGTGTTGAGCGCTGGGGAAAAAACCAATGTATATATATATATGTATATATATATATATATCAATGGCGCCCATGATGAAGGTCCCTGATTCGGGAATTCCTTTCAAATTATTGCAATTACTGTGGATGATGTACAGTAACTTGCCTGGAATGGTCGTTGTTTGCATTCTGTTTGTTTGTTTTTTTTTGTGGGGAGTAGGTTTTCGTGAGGGTACCCTGTTGTGGTTGGTCTAAAGGCACTCTAAGGGAAGCTCACCCCTTTTTGTAACCCCTCATTGGTGGTTTGGGGATTTGAACCCTGGTCCTTGTAGAGCCGGTAACCACCAAACCACCGGGCTCCAAACCACCAAGTAATCTATAGGCTGATTCCAACCATTCTTTGCAACCATCGTTCTTTCCAATCGTTTTCTCCGGCTTTCCGGAGGTTTGCCGGAAAGAAGGATCCCTGGGTTCAGAATGGAAATGGAAGGCATCCTTCGAAGCAAGAGATGGGAAGATGGAAGACCCCTCCAGTGACGACCAAACCACCGGGCTCCAAACCACCAACTAGAAGGAGACACAAGTCTTCCTGATCGAAACTCACCTCAGCACCAGTCAGGTCTTGAAAACAATATATATATATATATATCTAAAATGACAAACAAAGTTGAAATCGTTGACAAATCTCTGGAGTTGATTGTACCGCACCAGCAAATCATTTCTCACGCAGTTTGGCGCGCGACTTGCTTAGGTTCGGCTGAGCCGGTGAAGCCCGGGAAGGCCGCGGAGGCCGGCCGGCTGGAAGTTCACGTGCTGATCGGCCAGGAATTTGAGACATGGTCCAGCCAGGTGCCCTCACCCAAAGTTCAAAACTTGTTGCAGGGGAGCAGAAAGCAACCTTTCTTTTTGGGGGGGTTTTGTTGGTTCCCCCAGTAAAAACGAGCTCGCCCACCAAGGATCTTATACTGAATGGCTCAGATGCCAGGTCCCCCAGTGCCCTTCTTAACCCCTGTTTTGGTTGGGAGGGTTCCGCCAGTAAATGGACTACAGAAAAACAAATCGGGTGCCCTTATTCTTGACTGCTATTGGGTTGGATCTTTAGACTTTAACTTTTTGGGAAATAAAGGTGTTCTTTCTCCACTAAACCCCCAAAAAGTTAAACTTTTTGCAGGGGGTCAACAGCAACCAAGGATTCTATCCTCTCTACTGGAGGACCTAGATGAGAAATGGTCATGAACCCAGGCTTTGGTGCCCTGAAAGGGAAACCACCAGTTGGATGGTTTAAGGGTTCCCTCGTTCCAGTTGGATGGTTTATGGGGGTTCCATTTCTCATTCCTTGCTGAGCTCCAGAGAGCTTCGCTGGGGTCAAGGTCAATCTATCCTCATGCAGGGTATTGGCTTCATTTGGGATCCTTGATGGCAAATCCGGATCAGGGTTGTGGGATCAAGGGGTTTATCCCCACTTCTGTGATACAAGGGAATCCCCTCTTTATATAGGGGTGGTGTTTGGGAGGCCCTTTTTGTTGTATCACAGAAGTGGTTATTTTACAGCCCTGATCCGAATGGTCACACGAGTCAGGGTACCCCATTCTTGGTGGGGAGTCCTTTGGTCTCCCCATGCTTCGCAAAAGCCAGATAGGGCCCCGATGTTCCCGCATTTTTTCCTCTTTTGGGAACTTTCTTCCAGTTGCTTAAGCATAGTCTCAAGGTTCTTTTCAATACAGGGAATTTATCGCTGCTGGAGACATATGTCTAGTTTCCCATCTGATTGCTTAAGCAAACAGAGGACAAGCCATTGTAACTGTCCGGAACTCCTCGCGGTTTTGCACCTCTGTTGTTTGCCATTCTAAGGATCGGAAGTACATTCACCCAGGACTTTGGGAGTCGAAGAGATATGTTTGGAGCACGAGGTGTCCCGTCTATGTTCTTCAGTTGATGTTCGATATCTCGAGGGTTCAGATTGTCTTAGGGACGCCAAAATGACAACCATGTTTTTTTGGGCCCCCTGTGGATGTGGGAAGTGAGAGCCTCAGGGCTCAGATTATATTTGCATCTGGATCGGCGGTTGATTCGCGGGAGAGACGGGGGTTGCTCAACAAGGGGCCGCCTTTTCCTTCGACCCTGCGCCCCCTGCGAAGGCCTCGACACCATAGCATCTAAGGGCGCCTGTTTGGGCAAAGGGTCTTTTCAGCCAAGCTTATAACTAGGTCCCCCAGCTAGGTGCCAACTTTTACCAACTTTTTTTGGGGAGGGTTCCCCTACTAAAACAGACTACAGGACAAAAGTTGGTACCCTTATTCTAACCTCTCAAATCTGGAGGACCTAGTATAGTAAGAGGTCTTTGGAAGGTGTGAGTTCCGCATTTCAACGAGCGCTGTGCCTTGGACCTTGGACAGCTTCCGCAGGCTGGCTGACACTTGAGCATCGGGTGCAAGATCTAGATCGGCGCTTCGAGAGTTTCCACTCGCCCCAAGCCAATCAAAAACTGGTAGATCCTCTTGGTACTATGGCTAAATGCTTAATCAGACAAAGCATTGTACCCAAACCCAGCTTTGTGGCTGGGTTTGGGTGTGGAAGCAGAAAAAAAGCGCGGACAGCCACACCCAAGGTGTTGGCCGGTTTCCAGGAAGTTTGAAGACTTCCTGCTTTCCAGAACCTGCTTGAGGGACATCTGGTCTGGTTTTCGGGCGCCCCGACAAGGCCACGGATCCCGCGTTTCGCGTCGCGGATCCCGCGCGCTGTGACTGGATCCGCCAAGGGATCCGCCAAGGGCCTTTGTACAGACATTTGCAAGCACTCCATGTCGGAGACTACAGGAAACCGTTGCTGAGATCCTTGGGGTTTCTGAAAGGGCGGTTGCAACAAGCACTATGGACAAGTTGTTTTTTTGGGGGGAAACCCCTTTTGGGTTGGTTTTAAAGGGAGACCAAGAACAAAAACAGCCATTTTGAGACAAAGACCAGGCTCATGTCGTGCGCCACGACGAGTGCCACGAGGGTTCCGTTTCGCTGTTTTACGTGGGTCGCTTGCAGAGGGAGTTGAGAATTTCATCGACCTGCAGCTCGCTTTGTGCTTTGACCACGCCGGGAACTCGGATCCGCATTGCTGCCATGGCTGTGTCAGGTTGCGAGGGTACCTGTTTGGGGGTTGGTTTGGGAGACCAAAAGGGAATGCATTGTCTTCAGGGACCACTCTTTGGAGAAACACACATTTGGAGGTGTTTTTGGAGTTCGCTTATCAGGGGCAAAACTTGCTTTTTGCACATGAAGGTTCCCATCTTGGGGATTCCTACTACGGAGCGTACTACATGACATACGCCCAGAGGAAAAAACAAAAAACATGCAACAAATGCCCAGATGACCTCCGCCCCCCTTTGGGCGGCGGAATCGACGGGTACACCTAGTCTTGTGACCCCCGGTTCAGTCGAGTTTGGCGCATTGGGGAGATCTTTGGATCTTCCGCAGCCTCTGTTGCATGCACGGGGGTCTTTTTGTCACCGGGGTCAGGCTCCCCAGCCAAAGCCCTGGGGTCGTTTTACTCCCCTTTTCGCCGAATTCTGGAGTGCACATGATTCCCAGACCTGGGAACCTCCCCTTGAACTAAAAGTGGGCTCCATTTCCTTGTTGCTCAAAATAATTCCTTCCCAGGCAGTGCCACGGATGACGGATGGCGAAGTAGGGATCCCCATTGTTTCAGGCATGGTTTCCCATGTACCCTCAAGAACCAGGGCTTCAAGTCCCACCAATCGAAGCCAGGGGTTGCCTATGGAGCTCAAGCCCTTAACAGGGGTCAGTGGTGTCTCTTTCTGGGTGGTTCTTGATATCATCTTCTGGGCCATCAAATGAGGGTTGTTCAACAGGGCACCAACGGGAATGTGCCCCTCCATTTTTGGAGACAACCCCGTGAGCTTGCAGCAAATCGACACGTAACCAAAGGCGTTCAAACGGAGATCCCTCTAAATAAAAAAGAAGTTTTCTCGGGTTCCATGTTGGCCTGCAGGGGAGTAGTCATGCGAACAAACACTTTGTGTATCACATGGTTCTTAGCGACGCCTAGGTGCAGATATCTGGTCGATCCGACGGGTCGCGCGTGAGAAGCAAGCCTTCAGCAGGGGACATGCAAGATGAAGGCCTGGATGGATTCAGATTCGAGATGGCCCCCCATGGAAGCCCCAAACAGGCCGCAAGGAACGAGCCTCGCAGTTCGGGGCACCCGAAAATATATCCCTTGTTGGGTTCCAGGTCTAGGTCCCTCAGCTAGGTGCCAACTTTGACCAACTTGTTTGGGGGAGGGTTCAGCCACTAAAATAGACTACCGGAAAAAAAGGGGTAGCCTTCATCTAACCTCTCTGCTGGAGGACCTAGATGTCAACTTGCAGCATATTGTCCCTTTTCATAAACGGATTCAGAGCCATTGCAAAGGGACATTGCAGACTAAGAGTGGCTAGTGCCTAGATTCAGGACTATTAACTACAAGTCATGACCTTTCCACTGCTGGCTCTGCTACGGCAGAGAGAGATCGATGTTCTCCCACAAGGCAGCTATGCGACTCCTTGGGCAAATGCCTTTTGTGTGTAAGAGTTAGAACATGCAGGTAGGATTTTCCGGGGGCGTTCCATCGTCGGTCGCTTGCCCTGTGCTAGATATGTGGGTCTGTCTCCAGAAAACGGGAAAACCAGACATGGCTGACTGTGCGATTCGGCACAGAATTTCAGTTGCCTTTAGAACACCCACTCGTGTCTACGTTCCCACTCATGTCTATGTTCCTAGCCGGAAGTTCTCAACTTGTACCGAACTTGTTGGAATAGTGCTACCGCAACATCATGAGGTTTTCATATGTTCACTCAGGTTTCAAGAAAGGAGTCAACATTCAAGTTGGACCAGCAAGCATTCACCATACTTGCAGCTCCAATACACACCCAGCTTTCGAGTCCCAGGCTTTGAAGGAGCTGAGCTGCTTACCCTTTTTGCGGCCGCCAAGGAGACTCTTCCAAACTCCGACCGTCCACCAAACCAAGATCTGATTGTTGGACATAGGGTATCCCCAAGACCGTTCAGATGAGCTTGATCCTGCAGAGCCCCGCTCCACTGGTAAGTGTTCGAAGTTTAATTCGTTTGTCGGTGCAGTGACGAGAGTGTAAGCAAGAGCGTCAAAAAGGATCGTGCAGGCCGGCCTGGTTTCAATCGTGCAGCTGGGATTGCGTACCCGTTTTGGGGCTGGACCGATAACTGAGAAGGCATGGAGGCAAGGCTGACCGCTGTCCTTTGGAGACAGTTGGGAGACCAGTGTGTTTTTGGAGGGCACCCTTTTTGGAAACCACAACTTTGGGGTTCTCCCCTATTTCGAGAAATGCCCATGTCAGTCTTTCCACGCAGTCCTTGGATGTTCACAGCTGGGTATCCCCGTTTCATTCAAACCCAATCTCTTGATTGATGCGTTGTCCCCGACTCGACTTGCTGAGGATCTTTCAATACTTAACCTCAGGCAACCCAATTATTTGGTGCTTGGGATTGATGGTTGGGGATTTGAACCTTTTCTCGACTGCTATTGGGTTGGATCTAGAGACTTTAACTTTTTGGAAAATAATGGTGTTTTCCACTAAACCCTCAAAAAGTTAAACTTTTTGCAGGGGGGTCAACAGCAACCACGTTTTCACCACCAACACCGGGCTCCAAGCCAGATTCCCTGAAGCAAAATGCACTCGCCGGCAGTCCGTCCCTCGCGCCTCTCAGGCCTGAGGCGAAGATTTGCTGTCATGCGCACAGCCCAAAGGATCTGTCCCTGTTACTTTATGTTCTGGGGGGTTCCCTGGTGGGGAAAAGTGGAAACTAGCAACACCACTGTTTTTTCTCGTTGTTCTTCATTCAGCTCTGGCAATTACTACGCTTGTAGCTGCGCGGAGCTTGAATCACTGGGTCCCCTGAAGTGAATGTTTTCCGAGAGTCTCAAACTACTTTGGATGTTGTTTTGATGCACTCAGCATGATGTGTTCTTGTTTTGCCACACCACAACAATCATTGAGCACATACGACAATGGTTAATTTTCCGCATTGTTACATTGAACCGCAAGGGGGGGGGAGGGGTTCTGCATAAATATGTGTATATATATATAGAATTATGTGTATGTATATATATATATATATGCTACCCCCCTTGAAATACACAGGTTTTGGGCTAGAACTGAGGTGTTTGGCCAGACACGGGGGTAACAAATGCTTTGAGACTCTGAAATGAATTGACAAGAACCTGAGTATTCATGGGGGGGGGTACCATATAAATATTTATTTCTATGTTTGTAGTATTTCTATATATTTCTATGTTTATGTGTATGTATATATAGATGCATATCGATGTTTTTGATGCATTTCTATATATATATATATATTCCGTATATAGATGTTGGTCTGTTTCAACTGGTTCCCTTGGGCGCCAGCTCAGCGCTCAGGCCTCGGCCGCGGCGGCGGCGGCCTCGCCCGCGCGCTCGCCCGCCAGATCGGTGCGCTCGGCCGGGGGCCCGAATCCACCCATGGTCCGGGTCCCAGCTCTTTTTGGGTCATACAGTACTGGCCTCTTTTTTTTGCCATGATCAAAGTCACCCTCTAAGTGCTGGGTTAAGGGACGCAACCCCATTTTCTGACTTTCATAGCCCCCGAAACCGCCAAAATAATGCCCCCAGCAGTACTTCAGAGTTTTGAATATGGGAAGAAGCTTGGGAAGGAGCAGTTGGGCTGCACAGAGCTTGTTTTAAGATAGTTTGAAGCAGTTGGGGGGTGGACAACTTGCTTTTTTTTTCTTTTGGTTCCCTTTAAAACTCACCAATGCCATTACCAAAAAAGCACCGCTAAGCGTCGAAGTGGTCGATTTCGGGGGGGGTATAAGACCCCGCACACCCGTGTTGCGCTTCTGCCCCCTTTTGCGAGGTTTCGCTTTACACTCTACCAAAAAAGCCACTGGAGGTCTGGGTTCTAGCAGACCCTAAATTGTGCAAACTGTTTGTTTGACACTCAAAATGCATTTCTAGAGAAAACATGGGAGGTTACTATAAGACCATAAATAGTTAAAATGGTACTTCCATTGCGATGACAATAGACTGCTAGACTGTAGGTTGTAGGTAAGTATCATATAGGAGGCTTGGATGTGGGGTTAAGTGGACTTTGGGATGGGTTCTAGCCTAGGTTCTTAGAACCTCCTCACTTTGGCTGAACACGTTTAAGGCTCACGCGTTTGAAGGTTTTGTCGCACATTGGTTGGAGAGCACAGACAGTTTCATTTTTCTTGAGTTGGCACCCATTTTGAATCGGTTTCCTCTGCCTTGGCATGGATTTTCGTTTTTGCCAGCGATGCCTCCAAAGAGGGTCCCTGAGCCGTTTTTTTTTTTTGCTCCCCCTTTTCCAGTTGATTTTTAAGGGACCTG